ATGTAAGCAGAGATGTGCAGGACCTTAACTGTTGGATATATGGCAAGAGTTGAGTGTGTCTGTGGTGTGTTGTAACCCGCTCCCAGTGGGCGGAGCGCACGACGTACTTATTCTTACTGAGTTTTAGCGCGTATTCTGCCATACTCTTAACCACCGGTCGTCATAGGTATTAGATTCCAGTCGGCTCGGCGGCTGATGCCAGCGCTCCTCCTCCTGTGATACGGCCCAAGTTGGCCGGACGGGCACGGCTTCGCCACACATTCCTTCCCCAGCTATTCTCTCGCCTGTGCCCATAATCGACGCACTTTAGTACCACTCCATACTCAGTAATAGTCAAAATAGCAGGGATGATGTATTTGTCGAGAAGCTTTAACCATGAGTACAGAACAAAAGCCTGATATCAGTTGAGTCTAGAAATATGTGAAAGAAGGTACGCGCGGCGAAGCCGCGCCCGCCCGGCGCAGCCGGGCCGTATCAGAAGGAGCGCGCCGGCGTCAGCCGGCGAGCCGACTGGTAACTTATATACTGCGGCTAATAATCCTAGTCACGAATATGGCATTCATTTTTCGCGCTGGCGCCATTTGGCCTCCTGTTAAGGCTGAGCCTGGGAAAAAAATTATTCCCTTTCCGGCCAGGCTCAGCCTTAGCAGAGGAAGGGTCACAATCTACGATATACGTGTTCAGGAAATCAAACTACCCCTTGGGGCCAGTTTTCAGCGAATTTGGTGATGTAAGATATTTGGGCGTCGGCGCCTGGTGGTTTCGGGTCGAGCTGACGTGATATTCATATTAAGGAGGTTAAACTACTGAAAGGGTGGAAGTTTCCAGCGAATTACGTAATCCAAAATATTCCGGCTCCGGCGCCTGTGGCGCGTGCGCCTGGCGGTTTTGGGCCAAGCTGATGTGGTATTCGTGTTCAGGAGATCAAACTACTCCAGCTAACAACTTTTCAGGGATACTTGTAATTTCGAGTATTTTGCGTGGTGGTTTCGGGCCGAGCTGATGTGGTATTCGTGCTGGTCAAACTACTCTAGGGAA